GTTGTGGACCGCGCGGTATTCATTAGAACTGCTAAATTTTCACCAAAAACGCATCCGACAAAAATCATTCACCAGAAAAGTCCCTGCGAAAGGCGAAGTTGTTCTCATAATGGATGAGAATACAAACAGAGGGTCATGGCCTATGGAAATTGTCGAAGCAGTCAAATACGATCCCGATGGGGAGATACGACAAGTGATGTTGCGTACAGCGCAAAGAACAAGACTCACGAGGTCGATAAACATGTTAGTACCGCTAGAGTTAGGTAGCGAGAACCAACAAACGCAAAATGCTCAGACCGATGAGTCATTACCAAACGATGAAGGAAAAGTCGTTGCCGACGAAACAAAAAGCAACGACGAAGACCAAAGACACTGACGCGACCTTTATTGCCTAGAAAGGCGAAAAAAATGTGCATTACGTATACAACACAAAAAGTAGAGGTGTTGGGAATTCGTTCAGGGTCAAATGGTACGCATGGATCTATGCGATGACATTACTCCTTTTCTTCCCTCACCAAAGCAAAGCACAAAAAGCAACCGTTGCATCTTAAAACAGAATGTATTCGTGGGGGAGTAAATATACATGGAGTAGGAACAGCACAGAGAATACAAACATGCGGCGAACATCACTGTGTAGAAGTAAATAATCCAAAAGACAATGTTACAATCCAGTTTCCACCAGAGGTGATATTACACCGACCTAATTTTTAATCAAAACTTTAATAGCAGCCAAAGCATTTCAATTCACATGTCCCCCAAGCCCATTCTGCGAACAAAAGTGCACATTTTTCAAGGTCAAAATTAGTAACCCTCATTGCTGGCCAAAAACCACAATACTGGTCATTGCAATATTCACTTATTCAACATGGATGACCATAACTCTATCCCTCTTTTGCATCAACATCACGTTGCTTTTGCACATGTGTTTACAATATTGGCAGTTCCCTGCTGCGCCTCATGCAAACATGTTACAAGAATAGGAGAAACGACCAAACAAACAATGAAACTATTCCATGAGTAGAAGTGCGCACACATGCAAAGAAAATATGGAAGCCATCAGATCTAGTCAAAATCTTCGCCATAGCAATGATATCCACCAACACAGCAACGGTGAGAGTGTTTGCGTGTCAGCAAACAATAGTACTTCAATCGGACATAACGCAATGTGACTCAACAGTCACTTGCACCAAAAAACATGCATTACTATTGAAGATAAATTCACTGCAACCAGAAGCTTGTTTCCACCTTCAACAACAAAACGTCACAATATCACAAACAAAATTTCTTCTGAAAGTCGTCTTAAGGTGTAATAAAGAGACCCTCTACTACACTCGCAATACAGAAACTCGAGTACAATATAGCAAGCGTTGCCCACATATGGGTTCATGTTCGGGATCAAAATGTGGTAAAGTTACCCCAGATTCAAAAATAGAGGAACTCGCAATGTCAAACAATTATACCGGAATAACGTACTGCACAGAATCCTGTGGAGGACTGGGATGCTCTTGTGGATTCCCGTCCATAGGGTGCCTTTTTTATAGAATTTACCATGTGCCAACAGACAAAGAATTGTACGAAGTGTTCCACTGCCCTACTTGGTCCAATAAAAGTGGCACTTTCAGTTGCTCAAGCTATCCGTCAGAAGCCAAAGACTTACACTATAGAATTCGAACAGAATGTTCACAAGAATTTCAACGGCATGAGCATAAAGATAACATCAATACAAATACCGACAATGCCGCTTCTAGGAGACACGTTCCTTGGTAACTCAAAGATGACAGCACGATTGAAACAACAACACACTTTTAGCTACGTCTGCGTCAATGCGAAAAGTGATTCATCGCTACAAAGGGAAAAAGAATGCACTATCCACGATACCTGCTCTTGCAACCGTGCGGAAAATTGCGTGAACTGTTTCTGCACACGTAACAACCTATCTCAAGCATTAGAACTAAGTCAAATTCTACCAATTAGAATGCCAAACGCACTCATAAATGTCGAAAGCACATTTAAAAGACTAACAATACGAACATTAGAGGCGAGTACAGAAGTTGCTTTGCTAGTCAACGCGAGTATCCGACATCCGTTCCATCTACGCCCAATTTCAATGTCGCATACCAAGCGCAACAATAGAAGGATGTTATAACTGCTTGAAAGGTGCAGTGACTTATCTGTAATGCTTTTCTGATATCTTTCATGCAGTAGCAGAAATAAATTGCCAATCACAATCGTTCACAATTACTTGTACACCAACAGGATACACGAACGAATACACTTCTACGCTAACAAAGCAGTCTTCAATGAAACATGTCGAGCAAACTGCGGCACAAATCAGCAAATATTCTGGATAGCAGGACAATTACATTTCATAAAAAGTATGTTCCCATTTTATGATATCAAAACATTACAATATAACACCAAAACAAACTGTCCCGACACTTTCAAATTAGAGTTACCAGACATACCCGAATTTTTCTCAATAATGAAACAATACATCATATCAACGTGCGTCTTTCTTACGCTTGTCACCATGCTGATCGCCACAGCCACGGGTATGCCGAGAAATGCAACATAGCTCAAGCCGAAGAGCTTATCGCCGTAATATCCATCAAAATATCTTACAATATGCAATGCCTCTGCCTTTCAAGCTTCCATTTCTTTGCTTCGACTTCTCATGCGCACGATCCCTTCTAATTTTGCGCACACCCTTCCTTTGCGTTTATAGTCTTTATAGGCTGTTCAAACTCATTTCACATATGTAGTGCCGTAGTATTCTACGCAAATCAAAGTCATTTTCAAATCTCAAAATCCCGAATTTCAGATATGTCGGAAGAGCACAGTCCAAGTCCAAAACCTCAAGATATTGAGATGCAAGATAACGAGCGCTGTAATGAGGGAAAAGACTCGAAAGAACCGAAAGAAGAAAGGCCAAGCAGCCATGAGCGGGCATATTCACCGGAGATCAGCCTCGGCGAATTGCGCGCAATGATGTCAGCAATTTAACACGATATCGAAGGACTGAGAAGAAAAATGAAGCTGCACAAGGTAAGCATAACAATTAGAGCATTACAAAGTAAATAAAAGCAAACTTTTGAAACTGCAACGAAAACGAAAACATACGATTGAACATGAGGAACAAAAACAAAAAGTAAAAAAGAGCGCCGTGGAAAGCCTAGTCGACCATATGGAAGACTGCGTTCTCGGGATTCACGACATGCCAGAAGCAGCTCAGAGGTCTGCGGCCATCCACTACGATCGTCCAACATCGTCGGCACTACCAACACTACCACAACAAGAACAACAACGTCCACAGATCCAGCAAAACGACACCCAGGCAATTTATCCACAGATACCACCATCTAATTGCATTCGTGGTACTCGCCACTGGTCGACTGATTGTACCATCTATTCCACCTTGACCGAGCGTAGGCAGCGCATCGCTCAACTCAACAGATGCGAGCGCTGCCTAGGCCCGACCACACATATGGCCACTTCATGTCAACCAAAAAACACCTGTTTTTTCTGTAAAAAAGCAGTGCGACTGTTAGAAATGACGAGACATCACTCCGTCTTCTGTCAGTACCAATTCAATATGTAAGAACAAGAAACAAAGCAAAACAACAAACAAATATTCGTAACATTTACTTTGCGATCGACTTTTCAACAATCACTTTACTGACTTACTTATAAACTCACGCGCAATTTCGACCTGCAAACCGCAAAATCGCAAAAAGGAATATCGCAAAAACCGCGAAACCTCAAAAAGCAATGTCGCAACACGCAAACTGCAAAACCCTCAAAAAGAAAATAAGAAACGGCTCAAACCGCACTAACAGCAAAAACGAAGGTGGCAGATTTTTGAGAAGAGATTTGAAAAAAAAGTCTCATTCAGACCACAGGCAATTAACGCAAAAAATGCTTCTTATGATTATTTTATGATTATCCATCGGCATATTCATTTTGTAATTTCCCAATAAACGCATACTTTCAACTCTTTCAATTTACATAAATAGGATTCCTTTTGCAGTCAATAGTTGTTTAACTCAAATAAAAACAAATAAATAAATAAAAACAACAATTAATAGGTAGAAAAAAGTAAAAAAATTAATGATCATAAATAGCTCGCAAGTCACGGTAGTAACTCCGGCCTCTTCATCTTAACAGATTCTGTTCAGCCAAGGGTCGCAAGTTCGGCCACATTTCAGAGCTTTAGCCTTTGGGACGTCATCTTTCGGTCGCCGGAGTGTCGTGATTCTCACGATATGAGGAAGGTGGGGCCGCTGCGAGGGATATAAAAGAAGAGCCGAGATGAAGCGAGAGGACAGGAAAACGAAAAAATTCATTGTGCTTATAAGTTATTATATTTTCTTTTACATACACTTGGTCAATCAATAAACGTTGGAACCCGGCTGTTACTATTGTTGGCCAAGACAATGCAGATCTTCCGTTAGTATCCCAGCGTCAACATCAACGCTCTGGAAGTAAATTTTTGGTCATGCACCTGGTGAAGGGGTTTACCTTATTCCATTTGTGCACGTCAGAAGTTACGTCGTGGTATAGGCAGGTGTCGAACACGTGCTTTATCGCCCTTCCCCCCTCTATGAGCTCACCTACTTTTACTGCGTGATACAGGTGATTTATAATTTCGTGTATCCAGTCTCGCAACAGCTCACAGTCCTTTCATTTGCCACCTACGGTTACCGAGTTATGTCATGACATGGGCACCTTTAGAAGATCCTACCCTGCTCAGATTTTTGTCTAGATATCTTGCGAAATGCCAAGTATCTAGGTGCCATTCTACGTGTTTCGCGTATTCGGCGGTTGTAGGCCCTAGTCTCCCTACCGTGCGTATTGTTACGATTGGAAAAGATCGACCGATTGGGAATTTCTTTCGCTCGCAGCTACCGTAACATCCTTCTAAAACCTTCTTTCTCCATCCTCCCACTGAATCCATCTAAATGAAGTAGTCCGGACTTTCATCTGCTGCTATCAGATCTGCTTTAACCTGCCTCGGAGCGGTGCATCACTTCTGTGTATATACAGAGTTTCGTTTTCGTTTCCATGGCCAGTACCTTGCATATTTCCTTGAATCCTTTAGAATCAAAAGCGCCATTAACTGCGATATCCCATCCTGTAGGCTGTCCTTTATTCTGAAGATATTTCAAGGTAATTACTGCAGTTACTTTTTGTTACTTCTTCACCTCGTACGCGCTTCTAATTTGTTGGATAGTGCTCTCTTGATGTTTCTTATAAAATTCATTGATGCATGGCCTTATTGTTTTGAAAGGCCGGTTGAACACCGATCGCGAAGGCAGTGCGACTCCCACCTCTTCGACCCAATGGCGCAGTCTCTACAATCTAGTTCTCATCAAGTTGTTAATGAGCGAAGAATATGTCAAATCATAGTCATCCTTATTCCCGTGGTAACGGCATGAGCGCATGCCAAGGCATTTCCGGCAAACTGCTTGTCATTCGACGTTCACTCAGTTTTTCCTGTCCCTCCCACCGTCTCCTCGCTCCATCGATGCTATAGATGATGATGGGAGCAGATCTCAACTTGACCAAACGTGCTTCTCGTGTGCTTTCTTCGCATCCGCAACGATTCAGACAGAATAGATTCAGAAGCTTCTTCCTTTTATTCAGCAAGGCGGAATCGATTATCGATCTTGTTTCCACAAGCAATAGCAGGAATAGAACTTGGACTCCGCGATAAGATGATGATGAAAGCTTGCGTTATATGAATCCGCTTGATTTTCCCGCGGTGACAGTCAGAACAGTCACTGCATTTCAAATATGGAACAAATGATTCTTTATTCGTTTGTTTTTATAATTCTGAATATCACTCATATCAAATTTTCAGCAAATATTCATCTGCGACAGTATTTCTCATTCGTGATGGTGGATAGGTATGGACTACGCAAGAGCCTATAATGCACTGCTGATTTTGTCAGCTCATGTATTGGTATGTACCACCCTCATTTTTTTATTGTAAGGACTCAATCTTGTTTAATATTGTTTGTTTAAAATCGTGATTTCTATATCTTATCTCGGAAAATTGGCATGTAGTGAACTTTTTAAGATTAATGCCTTTTGGAGGGAAGTTTCACAAACATGACCTAATTAAGAGCCACTTTGTAAGGATAGCATCGTTTTATCTATGCCATTTGGGCGCTTCAATGATTTCATACCGCTTTAGCCAGTTCTTGTGATGCGCCTTCACTGCGTTCACTTCGGACCTTTTAATTGACACGGAGGTACACGGAGTCGATTTGAGAAAGGCTGAGTTCTTCTTTGTTCCTGTTCAAATGGTGGTGAAGTGGAAATGGTTCAAGTTGGTTTATTGCTGAGCTTCATTGTGCTCCATTTTTTTTAACCTGTGCTGCCTTTACGTACAAGAAATTGTAAGTTTCAAGTTGATTCGGCAAGAAAAACATAGATTTTCCATCAGCTTATCGCACTAGACGTTTAGTTCCGTTCAAGATGTTTGTCAGTGAATTTCTTTGTCAGCTTTGAATTTCTCCTCAAAACTGCATATTCCTTATGAAAGCTGCGAACATTCTATGCTTGTTCATCGAACGTTTAGATGTTAATCTGTTCTACCTAATCGCAAATCGTTATAGATCATGGTATGCATAAATCTTTCTGCATATGTAGTATCTTTATGTTAACAGACAACCATATCATTATCAAAACCAGGCGTGGACAAGTCAAAGTAGATCCGATACAACGACAAGATGTATATGCTTTCCTATAACAGTCATGATGCTATTATGAATATAGAAATTGAAAAGTAATGAGAATGGGAAGTCATTCCTGATTGGGAGCATTGGATCTCATGCAGTCGAACGTTTTTCCAGGAATTCGCTTCTGAATAGAACTAGTTTGTAACTATGGTGCAAGTTATATTTGCTCGCAAAGTAGTCTAAACTTTTACTTTCACATTCCACAAGAACTCGACCAAGTACTTTATCAAACTGGAATGATAATCTCATAGACGTGTTATGCTAACGGATGGCGTTTTTTACACAACTCTGTGCTTTTATTTACGCGAGAAAAAACTCACTGGGTCAAGGAAAACGAGGATAATACTGACTGGATATCACGTGAATAAAGACTTTTCAACCCGTCTCTGCCTTGGTGCAAATCGAGGAAAAGAAAACACACCATCTTTGTCGGTGCTTGGTCGCCTAATCAAATTGTCTGGTAGTTCAGCTTGATAAGCAATATGGGCAACTGCCTGAAAACACTTGATGCTCAAATCTACGAAAAAAGAAAGATGACAAAATCAATACTTATATAATATTTGGATAACCACTTTTTTATGACCGGCCTGAAATGGTACAAAGAATCAAGGAATTTGGATGAAATTTTGCACACATGAACTTCGGGGTGGGGCGGGTGTCGCTAAGCTTTTTCATCGAAAACCGCTGGGCGGCGCTATCGATTTATCGATTTTTTGCGTTTTTTGCTTAGCAATTTCGTTATGACCCCTAAAATGTTAGAAAACTTCATAAAATTCAAACGAAACTTTGTACACATGAACTTCGGGGTGGGGCCGTTGTCACTAAGCTTTTTCGCCATATAGGGGTTATCGATTTATCGATTTTTTGTGTTTCAATCTCTGTTGAGTTGAAAACTGGCAGGAAGGGATAGCTGAGCATGGTCAATTCGAATAAAATAACTACAACTTTAACCACTAAACTTTTTTGACCTTTTTTCAAGTTTTTTGTATGCCACATTCAGGAGGCTAGCTGATATTTAACTATGCATTGACCTTTCGCAACGGGTTTCTTCGACTACATAGCTCTTCAACAAAATCAAAATGGTTCATCCGCGAGATCAAATATGACCACCAAATCAAAACCCTATCCCGGCCTTACGGTTCATTCATACCATGCCTTCATCGGTCGTACCTCCTTCGACTACTTTTACACCCGAGACATGGCGCCGATATTGACTCCCTACAGCCAGAGGTGCGATAGTCGGAGCCGATTCTCCGCCTACCTTCACTTTTGAGCTGGTACAGAGTGACCACCTTCACTTTTGAATTTGAAAATTCATTTGCTAAAGCTCAAATGAAGGAAAATAAGCAAAAGGAATGTAAAAGAAAGCATTAAGAGCGTATATCTATGCAGTAGGTCGATCCAGGCAGTAAACCGCCGAAAACCAGATATTCGAATGATAAAATAATGAAAAATCGTGAAAAATCATTCCACTCTTACAAATCTGCTGGCTGAAGACCTCCGCAGTTGCGACTTCATAGATTTTGAAGGGTAAGTGTTGTTCTACCAGACAGTGAAAAAATCATTTTGATTTAAGGAGTGGCCGCCGAGAATGAGAATTTTGAAAAACCTTAAAAATCTTCTCAATTTTAGGTTGCTTAATGACAACTGACATTTAAACTCTAATAAATCCGGACTTTGAAAGTGTGTGATGTTGCGACTTCATAGGTTTTGTAGGGTGAGGTTTGCACTATCAGAATGTGTCTTAGCTGTACCGATCCATTGAAACATCGCCGAGATCCAGGCTCTTAAAGAAGCAGGTGAAAACCCGTTTTTCAGCTCATAACTTCTTTTGAATTGCATAATTCATGTTGCGACTTCATAGGTTGGATTCTCCTCATCAAGAGCTTTCAAATGATATATAATATGTTGGGGATTAACGCCTCCCACGGCATATGCCCGGGGGTGGAGTACCTCTCTTCACTAATTCTCCACTGGCGGCCTCCCGCCAATACATTGAAATGGGCGGGGTGGAGAATTAGTGAAGAGGAGTACTCCACCCCGGGTTAGAGCCGCAAGAAACATTGAATCCCCCACATATTATATATCATCTGAAAGCTCTTGATGAGGAGAATCCAACCTATGAAGTCGCAACATGAATTATGCAATTCAGAAGAAGTTATGAGCTGAAAAACGGGTTTTCACCTGCTTCTTTAAGAGCCTGGATCTCGGCGATGTTCTAATGGATCGGTACAGCTAAGACATATTCTGATAGTGCAAACCTCACCCTACAAAACCTATGAAGTCGCAACATCACACACCTTCAAAGTCCGGATTTATAAGAGTTTAAATGTCAGTTGTCATTAAGCAACCTAAAATTGAGAAGATTTTTAAGGTTTTTCAAGATTCTCATTCTCGGCGGCCACTCCTCAAATCAAACTGATTCTTTCACTGTCTGGTAGAACAACAATTACCCTTCAAAACCTATGAAGTCGCAACTGCAGAGGTCTTCAGCCAGCAGATTTGTAAGAATGGAATGATTTTTCACGATTTTTCATTATTTTATCATTCAAAATTCTGGTTCTTGGCGGTTACTGCCTGGATCGACCTACTTTCTTCGCAGTACGTCATAACAAAATGTACTTGATGAAACACACAAAGTCTAGCTGAGTATCGCTCACAAATACACTATTTCATTAACACCTTTACTTAAAATATTTAAGTTGTACTCATCGTATTTGTGGCCCTAAAGAGGACCGTTGGGTCACAGTTGTTGGCTCTTAAGGGAACCGTTTGGTTAGAGCTCTTTGAATCAAAATTCGTCAAAAAGCTTTGTTCCACAGATTCGTGGGAAGTGCTGAGGCTTAAATGCATCCATGCCAGGATGGCCTTGGGGTGCTCGCAGTAGGCGACCGCGAGTTTTTAAAAGTAAACTAAGTGAGAAAAAAATTTTTTAGTAACCTTTGAAACCGTTCTTCCTTTTTTTTCCTTTTTATTATGAAGAAGCTTCTGAAAGTCTTGAGAAAGAAATTTTTTGCGAGAAGAGACGTCGAGCTGTCCCCCCCCCCCCGTCGACGTTTTTGGAAGGTGTGTCCGGCACTACCACCTTCACTTTTGGGCTGCCAGTGGTAGCTGGAATCACCTTCACTTTTGGGGGGCCCGGCTCCACCTATCGCACCTCTGCCTACAGCAATGGACCCTTCACCTCCACACCTCAGACGCAGGTGCATATCGCCGAATCCGAGCCCGTACCGCTGCAAGGCGCACTTCTGAAGCCATGCGTAGCCGCCTTCATCGTAGCTGAGAAACACCAGAGGAACGAGAACGGCGTCTTGCCTCAATGCGTGAACGTCATCTTCGTCGACGGCAACAGGAACCACAGCTACGGGTTGGCCAACGACGACACGAGCCAATCGACGAGAACACAG